CATCCAAAATCCAAACCAAAAGTCATTAAGCAAAACAACAGAATCTACTAGTCTGGTCGGTTATACAGACATAACTACTGTTTTAGACATTAATCATGAGATTCAGGCATATCCATCCCTCTTCCAAACACACTCTCACCTCCCCTTACATATTGACTCCAACCTCAATTTTGAGAAAATATGAAGTTTTAAGATTGTTCCCCCCTCAATCAGTGACTTCACTGTTGGCAAGCTGCTTTGGTTGGCAACAATGTAAGGAATTGTTTGGAATGCTTGGTCAGAACACAAAAAGGATGTAATCAGTGAATTACTGTAACCTATCTTAGTGGGCTTCTGCAGGCAGACATAAAGAATTTACCTTATGGACTTCCCCACTCTTTTCAGAAGGAAGAAAAATGTGTCTTAAAAAGGAAAGGAAAAAAATTAGATAAGAAAATATAGTGAAATATTAATACTGTAGTAATAGCAGGGAAGGGAATACTTATAACCAACCTACCTTGCTGGGAAGTTTCTGGCATAAAAATCAAACTCTCTCTCCCATTATTCTTTGTGGAAGATTAACAGTTGCTTTTGAATCAAGAGAGGCAGAAAGCCATTTAAACACTTTTCTTCAAAAGTGGGGAATTTTCTTCTTGAAATGAGCACTAGAGAAAGGAGGAAAAGGTAGGGAAAGCTCACTCAAAGAGGTCCTCAAACATGCGTTGTCCCATTGCTATGTATGCTTCCTTCTCGTCTGGTGTCATCTGGGCCACCAGCTCTGGCCGCTGGCTCACTTCACTGTAGGAGAATGGACGGCCAGCCACCATGACAGTGGGGTCATCTGCTACTTCCTCAAACTCATCGTCCTCCTCATCCTCTTCCCGATGATGCGTAGCCACAGCCATAGGACGGGGTGGAGAGTCATCATCTGACTCACTGGTCTCACTCTCTGAGTCACTGCCATTGGCCGTGGTCACAGGAGCAGCTGCTCCCACTGAACCAGCTGTGGCAGAGGGAGTCTTCTTCTCATGAATGAGCAGTGCTTGCATGACCTCCTCATTATCATCAGGCCCTGCACGGCCTTCCTCATGCTCCTGAAAGGCATCCATATCTATGCCACCTGGGGGGTAAAACCCAAACAGTCAACATCCTTAAATAAAAGGCATTCCTTTATAACTAATAAAATATATAATATTTTAACATGTAATAATATAACAAGATAATACAGACTTCACTAGTTCCATTTCTTGAACAGTTGGTCCATAAGATATTCAAAATGTTCTCACAAACTAGAGCTTAAGAAGCATAATGGTTAAGTACATGGGTTTTAAGCAATACAGTGTAGATCAGAATCCCATTCTTCCACATGCAAACTGTACCACCTTGGTCAAGTTAATCTCTAAACTTCAGTACCCTTTTCTGTAAAATGGGGTGATAAAAGCTTCTACTTTCTAAGGCTCTGGATAAGAACATATAAAATAATATCTGTGAAGGACCAAGTATAGTAGCTGTCACAATAGGAAATCAAAACAAGCCTCCTCATCTTCCTCAGAGTAAAAACCAAAGGCCTTACAATGGCCTATAACTCCTACCTCACCTGGAATCCCTCCTGACCACCTACCTCTTACCTCTTCTCCTTCCCCTTGCTCATTCTGCTCTAGCCACAATGACTTCCACGGTATTCCCTGTACACACCAGACACATTCCTTCTTCAGGATTTCTGTACTGACTGTTCCTTCTGCCTGGAATATCCTTTTTTCTAGGTATCTATACAGCTAACTCCATGTTTTTACTCAAATGTCATCTTCTTTTAATTTACTCCATCTTCCATGTTTTTACTCAAATGTCATCTTCTTTTAATTTACTCCATCTTCCATGTTTTTACTCAAATGTCATCTTCTTTTAATTTACCCCAACCCTACATTCCCAGTGCTCTATTTTTTCTCCCCACAACACATATTTTCTAACATAATAACTTATATTTATATCTCTTGTCTCTTATTCCCTTTCCAAAGATGTAGCTTAGCTTATACCACAACAGATATTTTTTTTATAAACTGATATATCCCATGTACCTAGATAGTAGGCACTTGTTAGGCACTAAATAAGTATTTAATGAATAAGTGAATAAATGGAAGTTTTATTTTCCTGAAGCAAACCAAGCATACTTTGAACTCTGTAGAAAGGAATCTAATTTTAGGAATAAACCTTCTCTCACCACATACTTCCTATCATTTTCTGTATACGTGTTACCTGGTATATTACAGATGAAAAATTAAAATAAAAAAAAAAACACATTTGTATTCTGCATTCTGATAATACCACCAAACATACTGCCAGTTTAAATATATAAAAGGATTAAAAGCATTGTTTGGAACCTGACTCCTTGATTCAAATCCTACCAATTATTATTAGCTGTGTGATTTTGGCCAAGTTACCTCAAATCTCTCTGCTTCGATTTTCTGAAGTACAAAAAGCGGGGAGAAATAGCATTTACTCACTAGATTATTGTGGGGATTAACTAAAAGTCTGTGAACTGCTTAGACTGGGCTTGGCACTTAGAATACTGTTATCTACCATCATCTTCATCAAGAGAAGGCTCATAAATGGCCAGTTTTGGCCATGGATGAAGTAAAAGCATCTTCTCATTAACACGTTGGAATGCATTAGCTATAACACTATTTTGTAAAGTACAGAACTCCTAAAATGAGATATTGGGCAGATAAGAGGGATAAAGGGAAAAAGGAATTGACTAAAAGTTTAGATTTTAAAAAGAGGCTTTTGATAACATGGACATCAAAATGAGACTTAAAAATCAAACATAACTCCT